GGACATTATGTTGGCTGCATGTCTGTGAGAAGGAAATGGGAATCTTCGAAAAACTAGAACCAAGTAAGCATTCCTAACCGACATAGCCTTTTGTCCATGTACTGAGCAACTGGGCCTGTGCGGTTTTAGCTTTTTAATCAAAGGTAAAAAAGAGGGGCTGTCCATAATGCTCAATTTCGTCGACTTGACAGTCAAGTTTGACCACTTGAATATTAGTGAGAAGAGGATCTTCAAGAAAACCGATAGGATCATTGTGTAGTGCAAGGAATTCTCTGCAAAAACACTTTGAAACTTTTGATGGCAAAGCTTTTCATCTTTAGCGCGATATTCCAAGTACGAAAAAAACGCCATTACTTATCGGCCAGCCCAATGAAGTCCGGGTTCGAGCGGTGGATAGTAGATATTCTTTCGTAATCTTATAAGATGTAGTTTTATTACTTTCGGTCTTTCGTACACGTTCGATAATGCCTAATCGAGTTGCACAGGTGTTGCTCGAGTCATTAATACTACTACTCTGATTCCGTTCCGAAAAACTTACAGTTCAGTTTCCACTCTCTTAAGAGCATCAAAGAACACTGTACCTTTTTCGACGTAGTATGTGCCCTTATTAGACCCTTATTAGACCAAAAAATCGTGAAGAGGCGATTTCTCATGTTGAGGAGGTTGTCGGCGGGCTAACAATAAGCTCCTTCATGCGTAAAGTGATCCACTTAGAATATACGAAAAATCAAGAGTTGGCCACCCTGGGAAATGCAAAAAAAAACGTATTCACCTCAGTATAACGACAGATGAACTTCTTTTGGGTATAATCGTTTCCAGTGGTCGCCTTGAAGGTTACTGTTTTAATCCCTTGTTAGAGGAAGCTACAGGAGCGAACTTGTTACAAAAACTTTAGCTTCTCGTCAAATTTCTTCTGATAGAACAAGGAATGTATATACATTGACATTTGACACATTCGTGCAGGGGCAAAAACTGTAACACCAACTTTTTGTGATCTAGCTGAGGAACGCAGCTGCGACCACTGCACATTGCCTTGATTCCGTGCGCTCACAGATAGTTTTATATACCATTACAATAATTTAATTCAACTGAAAAGGGTCACGCCCTGACAGTCAATTTGATGATAATCAAATGGTAATTTACATTGCTCTGTCTTTCTGCGATGTTCACTTATTCGTTTTGAATACAATGTAGAAACGTGCTCAAGTTGTACTTGAAACAGGCTAGGTAGTATTAGAAGTGACAACTCATAACTGCCGTTATGGTATATATACAAGTCAGCGTTTCGTGCTCTTCATGAGATCTATAATAGGCAAAATAATCCTTTAAAAAGGTATACTGTTCAATCAGGATCAAGCTACTTTTTATTCTCTTGGATCCGTCTCGCATCCCACCTTGGCTTTTGCTGACTAGTGAATTTTACTTCCCACGACTTTCACGTAGGAACCTTCAACTTCACCTTCTTGACAGCTCCTACGTGGGACATTCTTTGGAGAGTAGAACTTCTCGATCGAAATCAAAGTTTCTATCAAACCAGTAGGTTTTTCGTAAAATTGCAAAGAAAGATTCAGAGACTTCTCAAATTCAGCTGACAACGTGCCCTGACATTTGGGACTTTCTTACTTGTTCGAGTTTTTGATAAAAGTATTCCTTCTCTACTACTCCTACACCTCCTTTTCCTCACTGTTTTTCCATTGGTACTTACATATATTTTCTTTCATCGTCAGTCAAAACTCACTGAGGAGCTAGGGGCTGAAATTATTACCGTGATGCGTCCGAGGAACAGGCGAGGAAGCGAAGCGGACCACTTTCTTTTTAGTGTACTGCAGCTGCGAAAAAAGTATTGGAACGAGCCAAACGAATCGGAATATTCTATCAAATTATTCTTTGCTTTTCCGGTTCACTTGTGCACCGAAATATCGTGGATATAGATAAAGTATGCCTGGGAGAACTGTTTCAAACCAGTAGAAACGACCCTAAGCAAACAGAATCGTACAAGGTTCCAGTACCAAAGGTCAGCATCATGACAAAATGACCGAGTGAGGGGTTTCACCTCAATCCTATCAGGCATCTTTGAGATGACTTGAAGCATGAGTCAAAGGAAGAAGACCACCAACACGAGTGAGCAGTTCCATGCATTTTAGGGAATTCAGGGTTGAATATCCGTGGATACCCCTGAAGCTCCTGTGGAGTCGATTCACGGATGATGAAGGCTCTAATCAAGTCCTGTAGCAAGCAAACCGAACTCAGAGCGCTGAACAGTTTTAACTGTTGAACTCCCGCTATCTGCTTACCTTTCCACTGTCTTGCTGTTGAATAAGAGCTTCAGAACTGTTTGAAACGCGATTTTGTGGCTTGTTCCAAGCTTTTTTTTCCGCAGCTGTATGTCATTTGTTCCTCATAGGAGTAGCACCTCTACTACAAATGCCTTTTCGGCGTGACTGGGCTCTTAACATACTTCAGCTGAGGTATCGATTTCTTGTGAACCATAAAAGTGATGGAACCTCTCCCCACTTGAGGTCTGTTTAAACCTGTTCGACTAGGATTCTGAACGGATCTGCTCGTGACGAGTCAAATCATGTGCCACGGGTGGTTCCCGATCTAAACGAGAATATCATGAGACGGTGCTTCTTTCAATCTTCCGTGGCGAATAGAAATTTTTCTTCTGATGATTCCTAGCATCATATGGTCAACGAATTCAGCTTTGAGTACGTGCTTTTCAACTCTTGTATCTCAGCCTAATTCTGTATTTGTATTTAGTACATTTGCTTTTTACCGTCACAAGGGAAAGATTCGGGTAGAGGCTAGTGAAGCCACCTACCCACCATTATGGCCCGACGGCAACATTTTTGATCGGCTTACTTTTCCAAGCCAAGAACGTCTACGAGTTCTTCCATCCTTCCAAATTCGCAAATGCCCTAAAGAGTGAAACCCAGAATCTGGCAGTCAGTTAGTCCTGAAAGTAATCGTATAGGCCATTTACAATGAAAATACCATTATGACTGATCCAGAGTGGGAGTAGAAAGCGTGGCACTTCTCAAAAATGATTCCGTGAATGATGAAAGCTTGAGTCTTTCTATTAGCCTGAACCCAGCTGTTTCCTGATACGATTTTTCTCCTGATTCTTTTCATTGTTCTGAAGCAGATTACCATTTTAATGCTCATGTGAGTTTGTTTTGCTGAGGTCTATTCTGATGATGTTCCCTGTCCCAATTGTCTCTATGGGATACAGTCCCTTTCTGAGCAGACATAAGCGGCCAGTTGGCTTTCGAGGTCCTTCTGCCTTGCAGAAAAAGAGCCCTTCCTCTGTTTTATTATTTGCATTCTTAAACCTCAAAATAAAGGCAAACGATTGCGTAACGGATAGCGCTCTCGCATGTCAGCAGAAGAACTGGGTTTTAATCCAAATCAATGCTGTCTGACTTTTGCTCGTGACTCGGTATTATTGCAATAAAACAGTAACGATTACAAAATTGCAGGACAGCCACGGGAGAATCCGAAATTTGCTTCCCTAGGCTTATTAGAAAGATTTGTTTTGAAACAGTTTTTGTAATTTAGTGAGACCATTTACACCTCACTGACATCAGCATATACTCACAAATTTGGTCAGTAAAGGCAAATTACTCACTTACATAGATAGAAAGTACTGATTATTTGGTGGTGGTGCCTGTGGTCTTTCCCAACCGAATATCATTCGTCGCGCGTTAGACAGTGGCGCGAATGCGTGCACGATGCTTTCAAGTTTAAGTTCGCTACTGCAACTATGCCATTCAAGGACAATGTCAGATATGGTGTTCGTTAAGGGGGGAATGCCGCCAGCGTTCCTTCCGAGAACGACAAGGTCACGTCACGACACACTGAATTACAGTAAACCGCATCGTTATGCTGCTTCATATCACTCTCCTCTTTAACACTCTCACTATCACTAACACTATCACTTTATGATGATCGCTTCTGCGATAACACCCCCCGTTCCGATCCCGTTATAGTAAAGCTAGCTATGAATCGGCTCGAACTTTTTGTAACAGATTGATTACCCATCCGATGATGGGCTTCCCACTGAACATATAAACACCGCTTTGACGCTGATCTGCCATTCAGTCGAGCCAGTTGGTTCAGGTAGCTCGAGCTTCTTAGTTCAGGCTTGCCATTTTGACATCTACGATCCGAAACTGGAGGCAGAATCTTTATATTTGATACTGTGTTTCATGCTTATAAAGTGCATTTGCAACCATTATTTGTCCCTTTATCTCTTATCTACCTGCTTACGGGGTCTATACTCCCTGTTCTTGAGGCTGCAGAACTATTCGCCTAGAATTCCTGCATCCAATATGACCAGGAACGACAATATGACCGCTCAAAAAGATTTCCAGCTCTATAAAAACTGTTGTCGCAGCCATGAGCCGCCGTTTTCCTAGCCTGTACAGATGTTATTTCTTCAGTGGTGCAGCTCCATCTGCAGCTGCCTCCTTTTCCGTGCCAGATTTCCCAATACTGCCCAAATAGCCCCGCAAAAAGCGCAGGATTTCAATGTACTAAGTTGTTAGATTAACTGTGGTGGGCACGGTGAGGCCTCATTAACCCGCAAGTAGGGCAGATAAGCCGCGTTTTTCAAGGTTCCTGTAGAAATGACTTCATAAGATACGGTTTATAGCTGTACTGTTAGTCTATGCATAGCGATACAGTGAAGTCGACAGTATTATCCCATGGAACCCGGGGCCAGGTTACCCTTCTTCAAAATCAGGACCAGATTCAGTGAGTACTTGTTGTGCTTCAGTGTTTCTTTGGCAGTTTTTGGATACACAAATGGAAAAATGCCAAAAATTCATTCTGATCTGTTCTATCTGTAGCGATTGTGTCCTGAGCAGTAGTGCAGCACTGATCGGAGGGCTAAAGCATAGCCTAGCCTTTTTTTTTCTTGAGAACCAGTTTGACTCTACTTTTTCGTGTGCTCATTCCACATACGAGTAATTGATTTACTACTTAAATTCCTTTTTAGAATGCACACATTCCTCGTAGGATTGATACTGCTTCCTTCGGTGCTCTCAAGAGTAAAAGGTCGAGAGGAAAGATTTCTCTGTGAAAAGAGGAAGTAAGTGGATTAACACGCTCCAATCAAACTGCAGTTACATCTCATACTAAAACCTTATCTTCGCATTACACCTTACATTTCAGTACAGTATAACTTACAGATTCGGAGGTCTTCGATGAAACAGTGAAGACGAATCCGCGATCTTTCGACTACGATTTCGTAGACGATCTGAGACATGAGGCTAACAGACATGACGCTTATGATGAACATGTTGGCTCGTTGCCAGATTTCACACTTTTTAAACGTGGTGAAAATCGTGGGGCCACAGAGGTGGGTGCTTTTTTAAGTCATGCCTTACTTCAGCCTTTTGACTGTTAACGAAAGCGTTGGGCTATATCCATATCAGTGCCCTTATGGCCCGCTTTAATCACGCTGAACGAATTGCTTTCAGGGTTCCCCAGAAGCACGGAATTGATGGGAGGTCTAGGGGTCTAATCTAGCAATTTGTTTACCGAGTTTGGAGTATACTAGGTAATCCTCTACTTAGTAAAGTCATAGCATGATGGGTAACATCGTAAACATTTCAGTAAATAGCCCGGAACGTTTGCCTTTATCGAAGTCTTTGCGCAACCTTTCGATCCCACAAACTGGGGCGTAGGAAAGACCATGAATTATTCATGCACTCCTTCTCCCTAAGGTGGAGTGGGCGTGGCATTTGAGCTTGGAACAGGATGGGTTGAGATATTTCAATTTGAGACAACTGTCATCTTGTTCTGTGTTGGAAGAAGACATGATTGCCAAGTGCAACTGTCCCAATGTAATAACTCGCGAAAACCTTAGTGGTAGCCACGTTCACTTCGAGTACGCAGCCACGCCTACCGCATCTCAGGGATTTTGGTGTAATTAAGAGCCTATCAATATTAATTATTATATGGAAAATGAAGTGTTCGTAAATTTAGGTGCCCGTTGTCACGAGAGGTGTCCACACTTGGTCCACACCTGCGCCAAATCTGGACTCATTCCCGTACCTGACAAAGAGTACGCCGTTTGGAAGCAGATCTACAGTCAAACCTTCCGCAGAACTCGAGCAAGCGTTCATTTTGAATAGGCAACCAGTTATGTTGCACGCTGATGAGGTCAAGAGGGTGAGAGAGCTTCTTGTTGGCGGATCTGCAACAACAGAACAGCCGAAAGCAGAACTGAACACCCAAACTACCACTGCACCCACGACCACCACCAAACAGCCAGAAGTGAAGATTACAGAAGAGAAGAAGCCCAAAGATCTCCCAACTTTGGCATTGGTATTATCGGAGCCAACGATCAAAGCTCCCGTAACAAAGGACACATTGCCCGAACATGCCAAGCAAGCACCAAACACGGAAGCTGAAAAAGAGAAGAAGCTCAAAGAAGTCTCACCTAAAACATCGACCCCGACAGCTACGACAGAAGCTGGAACTAGCGCAAGTACTACTACGGCCCCAGAAATGGTATCTTCTGCCGCCGGAAGTTCAAGTACAACTACTGCCCCAGCAACGGTATCTCCTGCCGCTGAAACTTTGGAAAGTTCCACAGAATCAAAGGAGGAAACAGTGACGACTTCGAAGGCGTCGAATGCAACGACGGAGGGAGCAACTACGTCAGCTACTACTTCTGAAGAGGTCACGTCCACAAGTGAAGATGTCACAACCACAACAGAGACTACAACTTTGACAACTACGGTATCTACACGAGCACCGAAGCGGCTGGGACGACCAATCTGGTAAGTCAAATTACCACCATTAGTTAAGTTTGGTAATTACCATGCAAATGGCCTATTCGATTAGAATACGGGATACACTCACCTACTTATTGAAACTTTCACATGTTCTGTCCAAAAGATACAAAAAGGATGCTTGGGTATCGATCGCTACTGACCGTTCCCAATTCCAGGCAACCTTGGCAAAATCACATTTGGGTGGTAAATTGCACTCATAGAGGCCCTCGCTAATCACTAGTAGTACACACTTGAAGTGAGTGGCGTTGCTTTCCCGAGGTGCAGGAGCTCCACGGGATACGTCCTTTGTCACTCCAATCGTGTGAAGCTTTACAAGGGGTGGATACTGTCAAATCATTTGTGGCGCTGTTGGAAAAGTTCTCGACCAGACCCCATCAGCCCTTCCACCAATGAGGTTGGCAGTAACCGCCCGCCCCAAGACATCGTGCTCACTGCCCTCTATATAACATTCTTCTTCTGGGCCAAAGTCTTTCCTCGAGGGTTTTCTCAATAACTGTGCCAAATGATAATGGAAACTTAACGAGTGGCAATCAGAACGTTTTATCTTTAGGCAACCACATCGACCAGCCCAGCCGCTACCAGCTTTCAAGTTCGCAACGGTCATGGGAGTAAGACGAGAGAGGGTTCGCACAACTCCCCTACCACGAGCAGGAGGAATATGGCGTCGCGGAGGAGTAATTATTATTGAAGATAGCACAACGACGTCAGAGCCGTCTACTACTACTGCTACTACTAATAAACCTACTATAGCGTATCTCAAAGAGCGTCAACCAACTATTCATCGCATCGATGAAAAGAGGTATTTCATTAGCAAAATCTCTTTACACAACCGGAAAAGCGTTGTGAAGGGTAAAACAATGCAAAATCTAACACGTTACCAATTGTGACGGAAGTCGTGTGAAGAAAAAATGAACTCAAAAATCGAGGAGGTGTTATCTCAGAAAAGTAGTCGCTTCAGGTGTTCCGACTTCCGTATTCCGATTCTTACGTGACAATGGGTGCTTTCGAAGACTGGTCACACCTATTGCACCAATTTTTCTAGGTGTAGTTCAGTAGAACCCGCAGCACGAGCATGGGGATCATTCTGACGCTCCCATCATTCGCGGGGTTTGCCTTGAAACTCCATTGAAAATTAAGTTCGAAATTCCTCTCAATTTCTACTCGGGAAGTAATACATTACTGTAATTGAAAAAGGAAAACTACGTGTACAAGGAAGTAGTTACGATGAAAAAGAAAATGAAAGGGCACAAAATGATACAATCAGTAGGATGAGAACAATGACCTCAAATGTTACCTCATTTTGATGCGGGATGTGTGCCATTAGGTCAAGCCGTGTACAACCCAGCTTTGCGACCTGACCTAAAATAATAAACGCGTCTTTTGGAACGGGTCATTGCTACGCAAACCTGTTCACACATTTCAATTCCGACCACCTGCGATCGCGCACGCGACTGAACGCTGCTTTGCCCATACAAGATAACCCCGTGCTGTATCTTGGACTTTGCTTTGGTTGCAAATTGCGGTTACACTGTCTCAGGATACATCCTTTTTTTTCTTCTCCTTACCTGATTTCCATCGCTCTCATCTATCACTTTTCCTTCTCTCCCCAATCGGCCAGTGCGATGAGGAATACCTCTGGGCCCTCGCAGCGAGAACATGTTCGAATGACAGAAGGGCTGTAACCGTCCTTACTCCTATGTACGCACTTCACCACCCCCCCCCCCTTCGATCGCTTCGAGTGGTATAAGGGCTTGCCGGGTTAGCATAGTGAGTGCATTGTTACCTGATAGAAGAACTCGGTGCAACGCAAGGATTTGAAGCAGAGGGATGGAGGGTCGTACTTGGTCCTGAGGAAAATTTCTTGGTAGTTGTTTTTTCTTGTTTCACGGGCGCTAATCACATCGCTGGGAGAATTTCGTGGATAGGAGTTGTAATGCCAACTTTGCTCACCCCTCCTTCCCGTCCTACCCTGGATGTGGCAAGTGATAGAAAGCTTGGAAGAAATGGCAAGCGAAGCTATATAGTGCGGGTAGGATAGGAAGGGGAGGGGGTCGTACTAGAGGACGAAATTGGGGGAGGGCCGTATTTTCCAAAAAACTTCCCCCAGCTGCAGGACGTGCCTTGAACTCAGAGCATCATGGTAGCGGTACGGCCGCTAATTAGGACAGTATTTCCCACTTTGTTGACTACATACATCACTGCTTGAGTCAGCTGGGTCCTGATGTGAATGTCGTTTCCTTGCCGCAACTTGGATCTGCCTAACTGAACCGCTTTAATCGCTACTGGAAGTGCTTTTCTCTCCCAAAGGTCTAGTCTACTAAACTGTCTAGCAAATTGAGACCCTTGTCATAGATCTACTGTCAGCTTGAACTCAATTCCTTTACTCGTGCCAACTTTGTTTTTTTTTCTGCACTCACTTCTGCAGACGTTCTGTGACCACTGTAACTTACACATTCCAAATACTCACCCATGACAAGTGGGTATCCCTTCCCAGGTATCCCTTTCCTGAAAGAGCTCATCACGTGGCTCGCTACATGGTCCTTGTAGATTTCACTGTCCTGGCAACCTTCCTTCTCCGCGCTTCTCCCAGGACCCCAACCAAACGTTCTAGTTGCCGGGTAACCCATTTCATATTGAGAGATATAATATAGTGAAGGTTACGCTCTCCCACCCTGGTTCAAAATTCGTTGCATTGGGCGAGTTT